TCTTCCCCGGAGTAGCTGGGCAGGTCAGTATATGATTACAGAACAATCCAGCCTAACAGGTAAATGGAGGTTAGAGAACAAAAACAGAGGAAGAGTGAATTTCCTCTTTAACAATCTACTGGAGGCTAACATGTTTACATTGTCATATCCCAGCCGCTAGAGAGCTATGTTATCCATTGTGCTACAAGGTGTCTTTAAACTGTTGATCATATAATTTAGGTACATATTAATATCTGTTTGTAGCACACATTAACCAGAACTATAATATTCCTTGCATTAAGGTAAAAAACATTTTTCCACTTGCTGTGTCTCCCCCACCCCCTCTAAAAACATAACCTTCCTGTATTGATCCAGCGCAATTCCCATCTACAGTACTTCTCCCCTGTCTTTCTCTTCTCACAGAAGGATCGGGCAGCATTGGGAGCCATTGACTCCGGCTGCTGTCAGTCAAATCCTGTGAGCAGAGAGCGGTGGGTGGGGCTAAGCCGCACTGTGTGTGTTTATGGACACACAGCCTGGCTTTGGAGTGAGCCTGCACATCTGCCCCCGTAGTAAGCGGCTTGCTGGGGCAGACACAAAAAAAAGTTGAGCCAAGATCGCAGGCAGGGGACCTCAGGAGAGAAGGGTCAGGGACACTCTGTACAATACCATAGAGTGGTGGTCTCCAAACTGTGGGCCGAGGGCTGGATGTGGCCATTTGCTAGCCTTTATCCGACCCTTGGGGCACTAATACTCCCAAATGACACCAACAATGGGCACTATTCCTCCCACTAACACCAATAATGGGGCACTTTTCCTCCCACTAAGATCAATGATGGGGCACTATTCCTCCCTCTGACACCAATGATGGGACACTATTCCTCCCATTGACACTAAAGATGGGGCACTATTCCTCTCACTGACACCAATGATGGGGCACTATTCCTCCCACTGACAACAACGATGGGGCACTATACCTCCCACTGACACCAACGATGGGGCACTATTCCTCCCACTGACACCAATGATGGGGCACTATTCCTCCCATTGACACTAAAGATGGGGCACTATTCCTCTCACTGACACCAACGATGGGGCACTATTCCTCCCACTGAAACCAATGATGGGGCACTATTACTCCCTCTGACACCAATGATGGGGCACTATTCCTCCCACTAACACCAATGATGGTGCGCTTTGCTAGCCTTTATCCGGCCCTTGGGGCATGAATGCTCCCACTGATTTGAGTCACTATTCCTAACACGGACACCAACAGTGGGGCATAATTCCCAACTGACACCAACGATGGGGCACTATTCCTGCTACTGACACCAACAATGGGGCACTATTCCTCCCACTGACAGCAACGATGGAGCACTATTCCCCCCACTGACACCAATGATGGGGCACTATTCCTCCCACTGACACCAATGATGGGGCACTATTCCTCCCACTGACACTAAAGATGGGGCACTATTCCACTCACTGACACCACAAATTGGGCACTAATCCTCCTCCTACTGACTACAGGCACTATGAAACTGAACACCACACCTGAGACATTGTTTACTTTCACTCATGCCAGGCCTGGACACTAGCCCCCCAAAGGTCTGAAGGACAGTAGCGTGGCCCTTTGTTTGGAAAGTTTGGAGACACCTGCCATAGAGTATAGAGCATACCATCATACCATACCATACCACAGAGCAGGTGAGTATAACATGTTTATTATTTTAATTTAAGAAAATGTCTTTAGAACCTTTTTTAAAAAGATAATTAAAGCTTGTCAAATGCTTTGGTAATGCTTGGCATGAAGGATAACATTTTACAAAGAAAAGACTAAACAATACTTGTATGTTTAGGACCTCTTGTACATTCCAACACATTCCACTTGTATAAGCCTTTTCTTTTTGTTACAATATTTTTAAAACTAGAAAAGATCAACTCTTAATTGAATTTGTTAATAGAAATGACATTTAAATTGCGTCTTTCTGGCTAGTCAAAAAGAACAAATCCAGAAAAAGTCTTTTGAGCTCTATAGTTCCTATACAATATGGTACATTTTCTGAAAGGTTAAAAAATGTGATTAACAGGAGGAACATTCTGCTATTTAAATGATTTGGTTTATTTCTTTTAAACTCTAAAATAACTTTAAACTGACCAGATTAATTGGCATTCATTATTGTACATTTCTATTTGCCAAAAAAAAAAATCAGGAGTGCTTTTGATTTTTGATGCACTAGAATATTTGAAATAATAAATCAAATGAAAAATGTCATGTAGAAAAATTATGTGCGGCTTAACCTAATAATGAGGTGCATAACCTTTAGAGCTAATCACTACAAACCAGTGAATTCTGTGGCACACAATGAGACCTCTGTACCTGCCAAAATGTAGTATGGCCCACCAGGGGCTGACTGACAACTCATGGGGCCCCTGGGCAATAGGGGATCATGGAGCCCCTGTGTCCTTGCCCACAGTCAAAGCACACCCAAAAAAGCCTATAAAAAAGGTATCAGGGGCATTTCATTGGGCCCCCTACTGACCCCTGGCTGTGGCTGACTCAGGCTTGAGGAGTGTCTTGTCCAGACTGTATGTTTCAGTTCTTTTCATAGAACAGCCTTTCTCAACGTTTTCAACCCTTGTAATAACTTTCCAGTTTCAGGGAACCCCTGCCAAAAAGTACTATATCTACAACTAGACATGTGCAATTCATTTCAGTACGAATTGAAATTTGGATGAATAGAATATAACAGAATAGAGAATAAAAGAATAGAATAAAATAGAATAGAAAAGAATAAAATGGGATAGAATAGAATAAAAACAGAATGGAATAGAACAAAATATAAAAGAATAGAAGAGGATAAATTAGAATAGAAAGTAAAAGAATAAAATAGAAAAAATAGAATAGAGTAGAACTCATATATTCATCTTCTGAAATTCGAATTTCAAATCTATTAGAAAATAATGAATATACGAAATGAATCTGCTTATATGAAACAAATTCTGAAAAATTAATCATTTTAACATAATGAATAGACAAAACAAAATTATTAATAAAATCAAAAACCACTCTCTAAATAAACAAATTATATAAACACAATTTCCCACAGCACCATCAACACCTTTACCCCAAAAGATGTACAAAAATTAATAAGCAGAGGGTTATGATTAAGTCGATGACGAAACGCGTCAAGGAGAAGTGACATCAACACGCACACGGGAACCGGAAGTCGACTGGTGGCCATTTTGGATGAGGGAAAGACCATCTGATTTTCCCTGGTCACTTCCTGGAGGACAGCAAAACTGTAGTATGGTATTTTAAAGCGTTTTTCAAGTTGGAAAAATGTAAGCACCTTGATTAAAGGTCAATTTAATGATTTATCTTGGCGGTATCACACTATTTTGTCCCTTATATGCTTACATTTATATGTTTGATGGGGACATATGGAGTCTCAAGGCTTTTGGATCCTGATAGTATTATGAAGGCGGATTAAACTGGGTAAAGATCCACAGGAGGACTGTCTCCCACCTATCTTTTTGTAAGATATATAAAAGCGTCTGTTTTTTGGAATATTGGAATATTATCGGGGAAAGTTTCTGAAAGATTTTTGAACACATTATTACTCGAGAAGAACTTGATTTGATCTAATTTTGGACTTATAGGGTTTGGACTGCACGTATTTTATTTATTATTAAGGATTTATTTTATAGCATCTTCTGCCTATTAAAACAAAATTATTAACTTAACAAATGAATCAGAAACAAAACAAATCAAATGTTTTCGTCATGCACATCTTTATCTACAACTCATGATATATTAGTGTGATGGTTAGTGGGAAGAATGCTTCTTACACTTGTGATCATTGGGAAGAATTACCCCCTACAGATAACTACAAACATCAATGGTGTAAGTGGGAACTTATCTGAGAGGAAGACATTGTTAATTACTCAAGGGTCCCCTAGCAACCTCTCTCCTTGGAACCTTGGTTGTGAAACCCTGCCATATGTGTTTGATAGGATTCAGATCAGAACTCATAGAAAGACACTTTAGAATATGATTTGTTCTTAGATATTCTGGGGTACCTTTAGCTTTGCCTGTTTGGCTGTTATACAGCTGGAAGACATGAGACTAATGTGTCCAGGCCATTTTAGAATATTATTGTATAATATGCAATCATTTATTTCTTTTCACATTTTCTTTGCTTTACTCTATGATATGCCAATGGCATGCAGGTATACACAAGACAATTACTTTTAATTGAATCACTTTTCAGGGGAATAAAGCATTGTTTCAAAGAGCTGCAAGGGTACCAGCAAATTTGTCTGCATTTGTACCTTACTTTTTTGTGCTGTCCAACCCTTTTATCTTTTTAGGTTTTTATTTTTTATCCTCAAAACTTATAAAAATAGATCGTTCTGAAAGAAATATGTGGCAAAAGTAATTTTTTAACCACTTCAAGTCCGGACACTTTCACCCCCTTCCAGTCCAGGCCAATTTTCAGCTTTCAGCGCTATCACACTTTGAATGACAATTGCGTGGTCATGCAACACTGTACCCTTTTTTTAGCATTCTTTTTAGACAGATAAAACTTTATTTTGGTGGTATTTATTCACCACTGGGATTTTTATTTTTTTTTCTATATAAATGAAAATTCCTAAAAAATGTTAAAAAAGTGTTTTTCTTTTTTTGCAAATAAATAATCTTTCTTCATAAATCTTGGCCAAAATGTATTCATCTATCTTTTCAGTAAAAAAAAAATAACCCAAATTAGTTTATAACCAAAAATTATAATTTAAAAAAAAATGTTTTACATTTTTATTTTTATATTATTATTTATGGGTTTCTTTTAACATACTGACAGACTAGCAGTACAGTGTCACCATATGGACACTGTATGACTTGTGGGGGATGATGAAGATTTTTTTTTTCTATTTTTACACTGATTGCTTTTACATAAAGGCTGTAAATGCAATAATTTCTCCTTCTCTCTGGCTGCATTCTTGCAGCCATTGAGAAATACTGTGAGATCTGTGATTGGTCACAGCTTGTCACATGGTACAAAGCTGTTGTGAATAGCCTTTTACCATGTGACCTCTGTGATCATTCACAGATTTCACACGTAGTAAGCAATGATGTCAGAAGTGACATCTTGTTTACTACTATTCATGTGATCACTGATTGGCCAATCAGTGATCACATGTATCGGGACCTCACACAGAGGTCCCGTACAACGATCGGTGCTGCGCTCTCCCAGGAAGCGCGCACAGGCAATCAATGCGGGGTGATGTTTAGAAACGTCAACCTGCTCCAGCTGCACTTCCGTCCAGCCGTTTATCTACATGGGTCGGATGGGAAGCGGTTAAGGGAGTACTGATTGGTAAAGGGTTAAAGAGGCTGTATTTACAGAGGTCTCTAGAAGTCTCATGCAGTCTTCTTCCGATATTCTCCTGAAGCATGTGTCTATTCTCCAACGACTCCTATATGCATGTCTGCTATATCTGACAGCTTTCTGTACCATTACATTTACTGAATATTATGTATGGCCCTTTGGTGAAGTCAGGGTCTGCATATGATGACCCATATATCAAAAACGGTGACCACCACTGCTTTACATTGCTCATTTATAATCTTTATAATAAAACAATAAAAACTTATGACTAATGACAACGCTTTGTGGTACTTAAAGTGGTTATAAAGCTTTAATAATTTTTACCTTAATGCATTTTTGTATTATGGTAAGAAAATGTTTAGGTAATAGTATCCCCCGTCACCCCCCTTTCCTTATATTTACCTGAGCCTTCATTTGATTCAGCACTGTGCCCGTATGTATTAACTCTCTCCCCTCACTTTCTGGTCTAACAGGCTTTGCTGAGGCAGCAGGAGCCCACTGCTGTCAACCACAGCCATTGATGAAAGAGACAAGCCCCTCTGCCTGTGTCTATAGATGTAGGCAGCACTGCTCGGGAGTGAGCCCGCAGGAAAGCAACTTCCTATAGGGATAATCACCAGAGCACCGGTAGGGGACCAAAGAAGAAGAGGAGGAGCTAGGAGCGCTGGCAGGGGACCCGAGAAGAGGAGAATCGAGGATGCTCTGTGCAATTCCATTGCACGGAGCAGGTAAGTATAAAACTGTTTGTTATTCTAAAAAAAATACATTTAAAGTCACTTTATGAGTGGCCTGGGGAATGACTCAAAGGAAACCCAGACCATAGAAAGGTAATTGGTATTCTGCTGTGCCAAGGGATAGCTATAACAAATATTCAATGCTTGTAATAGAATTTCTTTCCTCTGTAAAGAATCCTGACAAAAAAACATACTTCACAAACATCCCAAAGTAGCGAGTATGTTGAAAGCTATCAGAATATCTAGAAATGGCATATCGCTTGCACATATCTGCATTGCCACTTTGCACTTCATAGACCCCTCACCACCAACAAAATATTCTTCATTTTAAAAAAAGGCAATTCCGTCATCGGCAAGGCATGAACCACGACACACATAATAAGAAATCTAATTAAGACGTTCCTTCTTCATTTAAAAGCTAATTTATTTTTAATTAGGAAAAGTCACATTTCATTGATGATGCTTCTAAACAACGTGTGAAATAAATGGTTTTGCCTGTTAGGGTACACACATGAAATAGATCTTTTTCAACATTCTGAGCATATATCGATGCAAAGAACATATCAAACACATAAAGGTGGCCATTCATTGCAAACAAGCTAGAAGGTTGTGATCTTGAAGCTGAGTTGCAGGGAGAGCAAAAAGAAGCAAAATATTACAGTTAGGTTTCCATCCATCATGTAATTTACTGTAAACAGTGTGAGTATCTGAATTTCATGTTTCCTGACCTGCCAGGCAGGGGTGTGCTCTATGGCAGAGATGTGTCAAGCTCAGAACGTGATTGAACGAAATACAAATCCTTTGTTAGGTTAAAACAGCTTCCTTACATGTATCTCATCTATGTGTTTACTTCAGATTCAGCTTTAAATTTGGTATCACCATCATTAAATTGAAGTGTAGTCAAAATAAAAACCACAAAAATCAGTACAAGGGACACGACTTACTATTAATATTCCGTGTCCCTTGTGCTGCTGGCTCCTGGTTCTCTTGAAATCAATCTCTATCGATCTCACCCCCCCCCCCTTTTCATTTAATCTGCCATAATCTTCTGGTGTAGCGATGGTTAATAGAACCGAAGGAGCTGGCATTTGTACTCATTAATAGTACCCATCTATGCCCGCCCTTTTCCACGTAGCTCCTCCATTCATTGGAGCCGGCACTACAGTTTCTATGAATGAAAAGTGATCTATGAATGGAGGGTCAGACCTTTTAATCATCCACCCATCTTTCATTCAGAGATGCTGTTTCATTCATAGAAGCCATAGCACGGTTTATATGAATGGAGGAGCTGGGCTGAAAGGGCGGGTACAAACGGACATACTTGGTGAGTGCAAATTATAGCTCCCTCATTTCTATTGACTCTTCCGCACTAGAAGATTATGGCAGCAGGGGTAGGGGCATTGGCAGAGGAGGATTTCAAAGAAGCAGAAGCATTAACAATAAGCTATGGCCCTTGTGCTGATTTTTGTGTGTAGTGCTATACCCACACGAGCCACTTGGCCCACTTGGGTTCTCACCTTGACTCCAAAAACACCCTCATCCCCTCTGACACAGCTGGTTGAATGAAATTTACTGCAAGCAGAGCATGAGCATAGATACTGTACATTTAACTGAGCTGTGAATTAGCACCAGGAAATAGACAAAAACCCTTTATTAGTATTGGTACAGGTTAGAATAAATGGTGGTTGGAGCATAAATGAACACCCAGAAGGTAGGTTTGGACACAATCTGCTAGACCGTATAACCACACTGCCAAGGTAGCTTAGAATAGAGTTTTGTACCACAGACTGGAATCAGCACATAAATCAGCAAAGTCATCAAGGTGCATATAGATGTGGCACCCTCCTAGATAGGTGCTAGGTTTCGATAGATAGATTTAGTATATATTTTGATAGGTAAATTTAGTTACCACACTGTAGTCAATATAAGAGTGATTATTTGTTAGGTAAAATCATAATTAGCTCACTGTACTCAGTGAAGCTGTTTCTGGATAAGTGTGATGCTATAGCAGCATGAATATTGATACAGCCCTGGCCTATCCTAGAGAGGTAGGCTCTGATGGCATGCTGGAACACACAGCAAACTCTGTACTCCTGCGCTTCGGGATGGACTCGGCTAAGGTTATGGTAACATCACAGAGATCCTGGAGAATGCACTCCGTGCTGCCCTCAACAGACAGGGGTAGTCCAATGTCACTGGATACAAAGAAAAACAAACAGAGGCGCACCGGCCTAGTGCATTATCGTACAAAATTTATTGGAAGGATAAAAAGTAAGCATCGTACTCACAATAGACAAACAGGTCAAAGGCAAATCACACTAGACAGAGGTGTCCAATCCATATTGCATGTAAGTCCAAAAAAATGGAACCCTAGACTTCCAACAGGCTACCTCTTTTCGAGGTCTCAACCGCTTACTGAGAGCCACACCTGATGGCATGCTGGGATACTATATATTCAGTGAGCACACTGAGCTCAGGGTCTCTTCTTGGAGAGGATTAGTCCAGCCTGGAGGGGACACGCTGCTCTCTCCAGGCAATACTGCTTTGTCTGCTGTTGTAAGGCCTCAGGTGGGTGGCCTGAGGGCCTGAATGCTGAGACCCAGATACTGATAAGAGCTGACTGAGGGGCCGTCTACTAAAGATCTGGTCTGGTATCATGGAAGAAAGTAAACAGCTGTCCTTGGGCCTTGTGAGTATAGACACTTCTGAAGGATCTTAGAGATTTTGTGCTGCTAATAACCCTCTAGTGCTAGAGAGTCAGCTGTGGGTCTAGCTAAAGGGGACACCAGCTGGCGTTCTGAAAAGCTTTTGTCCATATAATCTTGAAGGGACTCTGCTCTAGCTTACTACTACTACTACTACTACTACCTTAAAGCTGAAGTCTACTGTTAAAAGCACAGACTTTATTATAGCTTGTCCCGAAGAATATCTAAGTCCTCAAGTGCACACAGTTCTTGTTTTTTGGAATATTCCACCTAATTCTCTCAACCTTATCGAAGTTCTCAATAATAAAACCACAAAAACAACACCCCTAGACTGGTCATTGAAGAAATGTGTGAATGAGCCCATGTTTCTGCGGGGCAAACTTGTGGGGAAGACTTGGACAGTATTTCTGTGGCTCATATGGGAGTAGCGCTACATAAGGATTAATTAAAATGTGAATAATAATGCTATAAATTGTCTAGACTGCACTCTAGGAGAATGATTAGGATATTGTGTAATGTTACCTGAGAGGAATCTCTTAGAATAAGCAATAGGCAAAGGTGTCTGTGTAGCAGCTGTAAAGGGGCAGTCTTTACTCCTAATTCTTCAGCCGGTTAGCGTTGAGGCCCTGTTGTATCATTGGTGCACATGATAATAGTCCCAGTCAAGTCTGCAGGCACTGCTAAGACTAGTAGATGGCCGTTTGGTCAGTTCCTAATAGGCTCAGTATCACTACCATCAGATTGTAAATCTCCACAGCAGCAGATCACCAGTCCCAGTGATATCGCAGTTCATTATCTGATGAGCGATTAATTCACTCTCTGCTCAGCACCCAGATGATTCTGTCTGTTGGCATACATGGGCTTAGCACTCCAGATCCTGCTCAGGCCACAGTTATGCATCAGTGGTGGTGCACACTTGACAGCAATGTGCACTCTCTAGGCTCAAATGACAAGTGGAACCTGTGTCCCCTACAGACTAGGAGAATGCAGCAATTTCCCCTCCTTCTTCTGCAGGGACTGGTGGGGGCTGTAGGCCCCATTACATTCAGTGGGCAGTGCTCCCAAAGGGACTACATGTCCCATGATCCTCCTCCCGTCTTTCCTGATTAGTCGCTCTGCTGCTTGTTAGGGGGGAGAGGGAGCGAGCAGGGATCACATGCAGAACTGCTCTGAAGTTGCACAGCAGGGAAGCTCAGGGTGAGAGGCGGCTGCTGCACACACAGCCTGTTGTTTACACAGATCCCAGCAGCTTGGGGGGGGGGGATCGATACTGCCAGCATGGCACCCAACGACATGTGTTTTTATTTTGACTACACTTAGGCTTTAAAGGGAATCTTCTTCCCCATTGGAGAACATTCCTTTTGCTTCCTGATAGCTGTCACTAGGGCAAGCAGTAAGTACAACATTCAAAAGTTTTAGCATTGTAAAGGATGGTTATAATATGGTGTTTAATACTGTGTCCCCCTGTTCCTATGCTTTAACACTTATTTCTATACTATATCAAAATTGCCCTGCACTAAACACAATTTAAAAA